TTTTTTCTTCGCGCGCGCACGCCGAAATCTCCAAAAACCATTGGGTTCTTAAGAATTTTAGCACCGCGCATCATAAAATCACACGAATCGCACCGTAGGTCCTCGAAAAACACCTGCACGACTTTTCAAACTTTCCACCCGCGCGCGCTGTCCGAATCCTAAAACAACCAATGGTTTTCCAACATTTATGTTACATGAGCTCGCGCGAGCTACTTTCGCACGCTCTTGCAACGGGGTTCGCGCGCCTGCCAGGGGCCAGAATCCCTTGCGGTTGCGCCATAGGTTGCGCCCTCGGCCGCCGAGAATAAAACGCCCCCCTATTGGTTGCGCCATAGGTTGCGCCCTCGGCCGCCGAGAATAACACGTCCCCCTACTGGTTGCGCCATAGGTTGCCCCAGGAGGCCTTCAAGAGGCCCCAAGAGCCCGCCGTGAGGACCCAATAAGCCCCCAAGAGGCCCCAAGATGCTTCCAAGAAGCCCCCCAAAGCCCCTCAAGAGGACCCCAAGCGGCGCCAGGAGGCTTCCCCCCTTCCCCCCTTCCCCAAGAGGACCCCAAGCGGCCCCAGGAAGCCTCCGACTGATCACTGGCACATCCGTAGCCATCTCGGATCAGGGTATCGCCTGTGTTCTTGGATGGTCCATGGCTTTGACGGCGAAAGCCCTTGACGAGCAGTATGGCCCGGAGCTGTCGCGGCCTCCCTTGGCCGACTGCGAGAGCCCGTATTATTTGCATCAGGCGCTCGTTGCAAAGGGTATCCAGGTCAGTCACCAGGCGTGCAAGACTTGGTGGGGCAAATATCGGGTTGTGCCTGGCAAGGTTCGTATTTCTAGCGCCCAGGAGCTGGAGGAGCAGCACGGTTCTGCCATCCGCCACCTGGGCATCGAGTATAATACACCTTTCAAATTATGCGGGGCGCTCCGACAGTTGGATACACCACTGTATGTGACAGATCAGGTCGCAAAGATGTGGCTACTGCAGTATTCTTCCAAAGAGACGCTTGTCAAAGTGCAGAACGCTGGCCATCTGGAGACCTGGTATGGAGAACGTATTCGCACAGACATGCCCGAGGGGACTACTGACGGCACACTATCAAATGTAACAGAGTTGTGTATGCATCTACGGTCTTGCGAGTACGTATCATCTCATGTGTGTCGTGCACACTATCACATGTAACAGAGTTGTGTATTCCCATCATCCCAGGAACTTGACCCAAAAATGTGACCAACTCCGCTCTCTCTGTCTCTCTCTCTGTCTGCTCTCTGTCTCTCTCTCTGTCTCTCTGTATTATGTATTGCATGGCACAATTGCACCATGCTGGGCACATGCGCGCCCCGAATAAGTGACCAAGTTCTGTGGGTGTGTACCCCGCGCCAGTGTAGTAGCCACGGTCGTCCGCACGCCACGAAGTGAAGTGTCCCAACGTCATAGGGCGGGAAGCTGGGTTTGGGTGGTAGCGAAGAGTCGTTTGGATATTTGGTAGAGCTTGTAATGCCCCCCCACGAAGTGGGGGTATTGCCTGGTGTCGTATGATAACCCTGGCACTGGGGAGAACACCACGCGTTCGGGTTAAATGATTGTTGTTGTTGTTGTTGTTGTTGTCGTTGATGATGATGTTGTTGTTGTTGTTGTTGGTGTTGTTGTTGTTGGTGTTGAACATTATTTATTCTAAAGAATAATTATTGTTGGGCCCCCTGGTGCGCGCCCCCCCTGCGCCGCCTAGGCCGCAGCTACATTTTCATCATTTTCGTTCGGAAGCCTCAGAAAAGAGTGTGTACAGGATCCGGTTGTTTTGTTGTAATCCGCTTTCCCTTGCAAAAAACATTATAAAATGACATTTCTTGTTCTAATATAATCAAATTTCAAGAATCCCTTGCAAAAAATAAGGTGAAGTGGACATTCGCGCGCGCAAGACGAAATCCTTCCAAAACCTTAGTGTTCGCAGCGATTTTAACATAAAAACTTAAAAAAACAATGGTTTTTCAACAAAAAAAAAGTCAAAATCTCATCCCGCGCGCTCTTGCGGATTCGTAGGAAACCCAACACTTTTTAAACATTTTTGTCAAACGGGCTTTTGCGAGCAACTTTTTCAAACTTCTGCGACAACGGTTGCGCACCTGCCAGGGCCATCATCCCTGTCAAATAATACCATGCGGGACACATTCGTTTTTTCTTCGCGCGCGCACGACGAAATCTCCAAAAACCATTGGGTTCTTAAGAATTTTAGCACCGCGCATCATAAAATCACACGAATCGCACCGTAGGTCCTCGAAAAACACCTGCACGACTTTTCAAAATTTTTACCCGCGCGCGCTGTCCGAATCCTAAAAAAACTAATGGTTTTCCAACATTTATGTTACATGAGCTCGCGCGAGCTACTTTCGCACGCTCTTGCAACGGGTGTGGGTTCACAAGTTGTTAAGCCTTGTGGGTTCACAAGGCTTAACAACTTCTGTGGGTGTACGAACGTAGGCTTAACAACTTCTGTGGGTGTGTACTCCACGCCAGTGTAGTAGCCACGGTCGTCCGCAGGCCACGAAGTGAAGTGTCCGAACGTCATAGGGCGGGAAGCGGGGTGTGGGTGGGGGGAGGAAAGGTCGCGTGGAATATTTGGTGGGAGCTGCACTGCCCCCCCACAAAGTGGGGGTATTGGCTGGCCGTCGCATGAAAACCCTGGCCACTGGTGAGAACACTGAGCGTGAGGTGTAAAGTTGATTGTGGTGTTGTTTGCCTGATTGTTGTTGTTGTTGTTGTTGTTGTGGAACATTATTAATTCTAAAGAATAATTATTGTTGGGCCCCCTGGTGCGCGCCCCCCCCGCCGCGCCTAGGCCGCAGCCACGTTTTCATCATTTTCGTGAGGAAGCCTCAGGTAATTCGAGGTGATCAAGATCCGGTTGTTTTGTTGTAATCCGTTTTCCCTTGCAAAAACATTATAACATGACATTTCTTGTTCTAATATAATCAAATTTCAAGAATCCCTTGTAAAAAATAAGGTAAAGTGGACATTCGCGCGCGCAAGACGAAATCCTTCCAAAAGCTTAGTGTTCGGAGCGATTTCAACATAAAAACATCAAAAAACCAATGGTTTTTCAACAAAAAAATGTCAAAATCTCATCCCGCGCGCTCTTGCGGATTCGTAGGAAATCCAACACTTTTTAAACATTTCTGTCAAACGGGCTTATGCTAGCAACCTTTTCGAACTTCTGCAACAACGGTTGCGCACCTGCCAGGGCCATCATCCCTGTCAAATAATACCATGCGGGACACATTCGTTTTTTCTTCGCGCGCGCACGCCGTCGTCGTCGGCCGCGGGGCCTTGAATAGTAGCCAAGGTCGTCCGCAGGCACGAAGTGAAGTGCGAAGTG